TTGGCTCTACAAAGATACTTTTTTCCAGCTAATGTCACATCCTAGGAATGAGTGTGAAAAATAGCTAAAAGGAATTGCTTACATTTATATATGTATCCTTGAGATGAACCAAACCAACTCTATCTTAGATGTGAGCCTGACTGACTCCATCTTGGCTTCTTCCCCTGCCATTTCTCCTTTGAGTGCATACCTGGGCCACACTATACTCAGTCATGTTATCCTTAGAACTATAGAAACATATAACCATTAAAACCATATCTTGCTTGACAAACCCACTTGCTATTGTCAATACCCCCTTGATTGATTGTATGGAAAACACCGAATGCCCCCATTGGTAACCAGCAATCATGGGAACTGCTTATGTATAACCTTAGTTAATCAACAATCATGGGAGCCCCCTACCTACAAGTTACCAGCCTCCTCCCCTAACTTGCTTATTCTGCTTCTGTAAAATTCCACTTTGCCGCCTTACCCTGAGCAACATATAAAAGGAAATCAAACCCCTTCCTCAGGGCCGTGAGATTTTGAGTGTGAGCTGACTCTCGGTGGCTTGCAATAAAGGACTCACAATCAGATTTCAGAGCGTGGTGCTTTCCAAACAACTCGCTCAGATATAACGTCCTAAATAAGCAATTTTTAGTGCTTGATGTGTCCTACCAGTGCTCTCTTTGCTTTGGTCTAAGGAGAATGCCCCTCAAGAGCCATACACTATTTGAGAATAAATGGATGGAAGAGATAAAATAAATTGAAAATTTTCAACTTTCATAATCATCCCTCCAACCACACACACACACACACACACACACACGCACACACACACACACTACCATATATCTGAATTGAGAAACTTCTCACACCAGAAAAAATACAAATTTTCTAATGACACTCTCAACATAAACTGTATGAAGCATGGGAATAATTCATGGAAGCCTAAGGGTCTTAATGGTTCATAAGTGAAGGCTTTTCCTCTGCTTGATTCTCCGCTCCCATATACAGATTTTTGCATGGCAAGGCAATGCACTATTAGATTTGGGATGGGTGAAGAGCATTCCTTTTGGAAAGTAATAGAAGGCCTATAAAAAAACTCAGTGTATTATTGGGAAGATTGTTTTTAAGAAAGAAAACAAATGAAAATTAAAGATCTGGAAATAAGATTTCCTTAAAAGAATATGTGCTTGCATTTCTCCTGGGAAATCTTTGGGAACCTGGGGAATGCAGTGCATTTGGGTGGTTTGAGGACTACTGGTCTGTCACTTCAAGAAGCCCAAATCAATGCATGCTGGGGTGACAGAAACACAATGTTTTGAGGGAGCTAGAAATTAAGATGTTTTGAATATGCTGGATGGGAAAGAATGCAAATCAAGCAAGTCCTAGTAAAGAAGTTGCAAATGCCTGACTTTGCAGGAAAAGAAAAAAGGTTCAAATGCCCGTCAGTGAGAAAAGAGGCATTTTTTCCCCATGTATGATAAACATAGTAACATAATTAACCTATGGTGGATATTTTCCCCCAGTAAGTGTATGTTCACAAATCTCTGTAGGCTGTATTCAACTGAAACAAACACTAACAGCCTGCCAAGGCTGCAACCAAGACAGTCTCAGTCACACATCTTTTTTTTTTTTTTTCTCGGCTACCGATGAGCATCTATCTGATAAGGCCTTTGGCAACCCTAAGGGTGGCATCCTGGGACAAATTGTTGCCTGGAGTTCCTGAAATTCTTTAGGGATTGAAGATTGGCTTATTTTAACTTTCTGAGAATATATAGGTAGTGCTATGATAACATCACGTATCCAGTATTAAGGGTTTCTTGAGCCCTTTTAGTTATGGTTGGGAAAGACTAGTATAAATTGAGAAGTCCTGAAGGAACCCCTCTCATTATTGAAGAAAGAGCCTGGACTACAGCTGCTGAAGGAAACCCAGCTCCCTGCACACTGGAATGAGGCCCTCCTGGGTGAGATGAACAGGGTATGAAAATTGAAGAGATTGTACTAACCTAAGAATTTGGGACTTTGGATTATTCCTAAAAGTAAAAATTGAAATTTGCCTCCTATTCTATTTTCCACTCTCCCAGTGAGCAGATTTTGCTCACCCATGTTGCCCAATATAGGTAAGTAGAAGCTGCAATGAGATTAAATGGTAATACAAAGATAATCCAAACATACTTGTCAGATAACAAACATAAAGATTTCCAAAATTTTAATATGCTCCTATCCCATTTTAAAGTTCCCTGGAAAAAAAAATAAGTAAAAGAAAAAAATTAAATCCTTTTACTCTAGGAATAATCCAAAGTCCCAGGTTCTTAGGTTAGCACCATCTATTCAATTTTCATACTTTGTTCATCTCAGCCAGGAGGGCCTCATTCCAGCGTGTGGGAAGTTGGGTTTCCTTTAACAACTTTATTCCAGACTGACTGTACAAGAATGGGAGTTTCCTTCAGGACTTCTCAATTTGTATCAGTCTTTCCCAACCATAATTGAAAGAGTCCAAGGAGCCTTTAATACTGGGGTGGAGTGGGTGGGGAGATTTTTCCTCTACTCAAGAGCCTGCATGACTTCGTAGTGCTAAAAGAATGTTTCCCGAATTGCATTTCCTAAAACACCAGCATCTCAGAAGAAGTAAATAGGTGCATTAATAATATTTTTTAAATCTGTGACCCTGAAAGTTTGGAATATGTTGCTTAACATTCTATGCCAAATATTGTTCTAGTTATTAGATATATATGCATGAGCAAAACAAACCAAAATCCCTGCCTACAGAAGCTCAGGTCAGACAAGAAATACTATGAGTGCATGAGGACCTTTTGGAAGATTTGCAGTACAGAATAGCACATCATAAGACAAGTTTTGATGCAAAGAAATGGATTTGATTTCATTTACAAGACAGAACAAATGTAGGATCCTGGTATAATTACTAACATCCTAAGGAACAATATCTGAGTCATTAGTTTAAGAAATACATGCTTAAAACGCTGAACATAAATTATGCTGTCTTCAGCCAATATATCTCCTGATGTCACTGCTGCCCTGTATGGAAACTTTCTAATGTAAAAAGAAGCCAAAGATCAGCCAAAAATATATTATGAGGATGGCAAGCTCAGCCCATAGGAGGGCATGGAGGAAACCATGTGACATGCTGGCAGGGAAGGGGGAAACCAACAGGAAATGGGGTGATCAGGAAGAAAACTAATATGCAGATAAGTGGAGGATATGTGGCCACCCACCTCCCATACTCCCATCAGGGGTGGGATGCCAATAAGGAACCCATTCTAACAGAGCAAGAGCTGGTCTGCTCAGCTTCCAAGCCAGGCATCAGTGAACCAGGTGGTCAGACCTGGCAATAAAGCAGGGAATAGCTGGGGAAGTAGAAGCACCAGACCAGGAGTTTCACCCTAGATATGGTCAGAATGAAGAAATATCAGAATGGATCCAAATATACAGCCCAAAGTCCAGGGAAGTAGGCTCCAAGCAAGCCCAGAGAGATTTTCCCAGGCTCTCCTGACCTAAAGCATCAAAGATACCCTGCCTCTTTGCTGCCTCATAGAAAACACTGATGACTACTTCCAAAACCAGCTGGCTTTCATTCACAGTCCAACTTAACACCTCCTTTTCAGCCTTTTTAATTGAACCTGGCACTTCCAGGCAAGTGGGCACAAAAATGCCATAAAAAGTAGCAGCCAGCACCTGTACCCCTGCTCAGAAGTTGTTCCAGGTATCCCTCCCCACCAATAACTCCAATATTTCTTGATCTTCACTCCCTTGACTTCTTTGCCCATTTTGGTCCTTGTGTCCCATGGGTCCCTCTGGACTTGAGGATTGATCACCACCTGCCCCTGCATGTGACTGTCAGCACTGGCTCATCAGTTTCAAGTGCCTGCCCCAGCACCCCAGCCTGTGGCCCTTTCTTCCCTTTGTCCCTGTCAAAACATGGAGAGTGGCCCTTGAGAACCTTCCTGTGGTTGGGGTGGAGGGTGATACTAGCCAGGAAGAGCTCACTGACATGGTGCCTTGTAGGAGGAGTGGGGGTGAGGCAGGACCAGCATGCAAGTCAAGTCAGAAGGGTCAAACAATCAAACACTCAGGAAGAAGAGAAAGCATACCCTGGGCTCAGCAGAGAGGCTGAATTTGGAGAGAAGCGGATATGGAAAGAGATTTGCTATTTGTGGTAGGCTTTTATTTGGTGGTGGGAAAAGAATGGCAAATATGTAACACAATATTTCTGTAACTATAAATAACCATAAATACCTTTCATAATGAAAACCTTATGGAATCTGCTTTACTGGGAGGTTTTTAAAATAGCAAAGGGCAAGGGAGAGAAATAACGTGTATTTAACCCACACTATGTGCTAAGCACCTTCCATATGCCGCTGCTTAGTCCTCTCACTTTTCTTCTGGGGAAAATTTCTCAATTTATAGAGGAGGAAAACAAGGCTGAGAGAGGTTCAGGAACTTAACCAAGGCTCCATGGTGAACCACAGTTTGAAAGTAGATCTGTCAGGCTCCAAAGCCCTCTCTCTTTCTGGAATTAAGCATAAGCTTGCCTAGAGGCAGAAGCTAAACTATATGACCTTTTCAGGTTCTTCTCTGTTGTCAGGATTTCTAGAATTGGCATATATTCTTTCAAGATAGTAAGGATCCATCAGATGCACTGTGAACAATAACTCAACAGAGATTGAGGGTGGTGGGAGCGAAACTGAAAATGTAATTAGGAGATGCTGGGCTCTGCCACCATGTTGCTCTATGACCTTGGATAAGTTTCTCCCCTCTCTGGGCTCAAGTTTTCACATCTGGAAAATGCAGAATTGGCTTAGGTGCTTGGGAAGCCTCAGCCCAGCTCTGACAGTTTTGTTTCACAGACTCTGGAGTTGACTTTGGTGGTTTGAGTAGGATGTTTCCCAATAAAGTCCACATCGGTATCTTCCCTAAGCCTGGCTCAGCCCCTCTTACCCACCTTTCCCACAAGGGTCCACAAAGGCACCCCTCCAAACAGCCCAGCCTGCACTGACCTGTACCTCCCGTGTCAGGGCCAGCTCCAGCAGCTGGCCAAAGTGCTGGCCCAGCATGCTCAGGGTCTCACTCACACAGGCCTTCATTGACTTCAGGACATGCTCATTCTCAACCTGAAGACACCTGAAAGGAAGAAACCATGAGGTGGATCACTGGAAAGGGCAGGTGGTCAGCCCAGAAACATTGCAGGGGCCAGAACTGGACCTGCTCCAAGTCTGGTGTGGGGTGAAAGTATACTAGAGGGAAGGATATCCACAACTGGAAGTCAGAGACTATCCCACATCTGGCTCGCCCCCTGGTCTCTTAGTATGCAGAAAAGTCCTGGCCTGAGATGAGAACTACCATCCACATCACCAGGAAGAAAGGCCATCAGAGTATGGAAAATCTATACCTCTGGGCTTCTCCCTAGAGAATCTGCCATCATTGCAGCCAGGGTCTATCTTTTCAGTAATGTTGGGGTGGATGTGGAGGGGCAAGAAGCTTCAAGGAGAGGTGCCAAGTGCTAGGTAATGCTAGTGAGCTCTGTAAATGTGGATGGCAAGGCCGGGCATGGTGGCTCACGCCTATAATCCCAGCACTTTGGGAGGCCAAGGCGGGTGGATCACGAGGTCAAGAGATCGAGACCATCCTGGTCAACAAGGTGAAACCTCGTCTCTACTTAAAATACAAAAATGAGCTGGGCATGATGGTGCATGCCTGTAGTCCCAGCTACTCGGGAGGCTGAGGCAGGAGAATTGCTTGAACCCAGGAGGCGGAGGTTGCGGTGAGCCAAGATCGTGCCATTGCACTCCAGTCTGGACAACAACAGCGAAACTCTGTCTCAAAAAAAAAAAAAAATGTGGATGGCAATGCCTGTGGCCCTTTAAGAAATGGCTCCCTATAGTGTGCAGAGAACCTTAATAATTTTCTTTCCAGACAAGAAAAACAGAGGGAGATTAGGTTCAAATTTACCTCTGTAGCCTGACAATGTTCCACCCAGGAAAGCAAAAGACCCTAGGGAGCTCAGGGGATGCCAAGACCCAGGTTTTATCTTCAGGACACAGGTGCTGGGAGGGGTGAAGAAAAATGGGTGTGTATACACATGAGGCTGAATGTGTGTACATAGCAGAGTATAAACATATGTATGTTTATATGTGTGAAATACGGAGAAAGAGTGTGAATGTTTTTCTGTGCTGGTCCGAGCATGTGTTTATATATCTGTGTATGAGAAAGTGAGTGTCTGTGGGCATTGAAGCCAATGTGTATGTGTGTAAGGGTGTGAGTATCTGTTTTCACCTTGCCTTGACTCTTGCCTTGACTTTGGAGATCAGTGGGTCTTCCCAAAGCCGTGGGAACTTTTTCCTTGTTACCAACTCCTAGAAAATTCTCTTTATTCCTATGCCCAGGCCTTTCCTCTGCCTTTTACCTTATCCCTAGGACCTGAACATGGGGCAGAGAAAAAAAAAAAAAAACTCAAGAGAATCTTTTAAGATTTCTGATAAAAATCAGAAAAAGGAAACTCTGAAACCACCACCAGGCCTCCCATTCCCATTTTCCCTCTGGGAGAAGATACCAGCCCCTTCTACCAGAGGTCAGGCAGGCAGACCCTGGGAGATCCAGGGTCCAGATTTACCTCTCTGTGACTGCTGAGAGCTCTGAGCATTTCTCCATTAGCAGCTTCTCAATCTGTAGAAAAACAAGTCAATTTTATTCAACTCAATAAGCATTGCTTGAGGACCAACTGCTGTGCTGAGTACTCGGGGGCATTAAAAATGAAGAATCAAGTAATGTGACTTGGGGAACAGGCACTTAAACTATAAGACAGTGTGATACGGGTGGCAAAAGAGATCGTTGTCTGCTGCTTTGGAAGTATAAGAAAATGAAACTGAGCAGTTATTTATGCTGAGGAAGCTGAGAAGCTTCAGGGAAGAAGGAGTATTTAAGCTGGGCTTTCAAGAATGAAGAGAAGTTTTAATGTCTGCAAAGCAGAGGAAGAAAAACTTCAAGGCAAGGGGTAAAGCACTAAGGCGAAATGAGAATGACAAAAGAAAGAAATAATAAGGGAGATTTTTAATAGTTCACTTTGGGCTTTGAGAAGAAGATTCAAAGACACAGGCTGTAAAATCAGAAAAGCTTAGATTGAACCTTACTTATCACCATTTGCTCCATAACTTTAAACAAATTATTTGGTCTCTCAAAACTTCTGTTTCCTCATCTACAAAATAATGGTAATACTAACATATTTTTACTTAATTGCTTTAAGTGTTTTGCATATAACAATTCATCTAGTCCTCACAACAAATCTATAACATAAATGCGATTATCATACCTTTTAGAATGAAGGAACTGGGAAACAGAGAAGTTAAATAACTTGCCAATATCCACACAGCAGAGCTGACATTTCAACCCAAGCAGTCTGACATTAAAGCCAATAAATTTAACCATTGCATAGCTTCTCACAGTGGTGGCACCTACCTTGCAGGTTGTGCAGTTTAAATGAGATACATATAAAAAAAATCCAGCAGAATGTCCAGCACATAGTAGGAACTCAGTAAAGGTTCTATTATCTTTCTTCCCTCCTTTATTGGAAGGGGAGAAAGGCCTCTGGAGCAACAAAGATTCAGATACCACATGATTCAAATCCACTTTTCTCTAAAGCATCCTGACTTTCAGTTCCTGCCCACTCCTATCCCAGGGCAGCTGACCTGGCCCATTTCCTGCGAGGAGCTCCTGCTGACAGCACTGTACTCGCTGACCATGGAGCGGGCGTGGCAGGTCAGACGCACGCTCATGCTGTGCACCCGTGCCCAGCGGTCCTGGGCCAGCTTCTGCCCAATCCTGCGCAGCTCTGTGCTGATGACCCAGCCCCGTTTGAGCAGCAGCTGCAGGGGGTCTCCAGGGCCAGGGCCGCCTGCCAGGATGAGATCACTCTGCGCATCCTCTTCCAGGCTGATGGGCTTTGCCTGCAGGATGCACATGCACTCACACTCAGTCATGAGCTTCAGATCCTCCATCCAGCGCTGTACTGAATCCACCTGCATCAGGTGCAGCCTGCAACCAGGAAACAGCACCATGATGACTACTAACACCCCACGATTTCCAAAGATCTCAATTCTAGACCATCTGATGTTCACTAAGGACCTACTATATGCTCAGCAGTGTTTCTCCCATTCATGAACCTTGATATTCCCAGTCATTTCTCATTCTCTTCATCTAACAGATAACAAGTCTGAAGCACCAAGTTTTAAGGACAGATGACCAGACTAATAAGCAACAGGCAATTAAGTCTGACAGAGTAGCCAATGATCTTTACAATAGGGGAAATGGAAGGCTGAGGCAGGAGTATTGCTTGAAGTCAGGAGTTCAAGACCAGCCTGCACCACATAGCAAGATCCCATCTCTTTAAAAAAAAGTTAATGGAAATAGCCTAAATATAAAATAATAGTTATGCTAAGTGAGCTATGGTATAGCTATGATTATGTAGTATGCACTCATTTAAAATGATTATTTCCAAAAGTTTATAACAAAGAAAAATGTATGTGCTAATAAATTAGGGAATGCAGTATGCAAAAATGGAAATATAAACACACAATTATTACAATAATGTTTGAATGCTACATCTTAATGAGTAATAAAAACTAAAGTCTTTTTCATTTTTTTCAGCTTTTCTCTAATTTCCAAATTTTCTATAGTGAGCATATATATTACATTTGTCATGGAACAAAACTTTATTTAGTATAACAGCATGAGAACATAGATTAGTTCCTAACATCTTAATCAAATAAAATGCGTTCTAAAATTCACTTAGTCAAGCAAAAGTCAGTAATATCAGATCATTAATAAAGCATTGTACATTCGTTGAGTGCCTTATATTTCATATAAGCGCCAGCCACTGTGGGAAAAGCAGAGATGAAGATGTCAAGCCTTTACTCTCAAGGAGATTTTGATCTGCCTAAGGAATCAAGATAAACTAATGAGAAGTTAAAAGACAATTGTTATGTGTCAATTAAAAATAAAACTTTAAAAAATAAAAATTAAAAAAAATAAAACTTTAAACAAAACTAAACTAAAAAGACAATAACAAATTTCACCATCATTTCACAACAGAATGATAACAGGCATAGTTAATGACTAAGGTTGAGCTCAAGTTCCTTTGTCTTCGGCTTTTAACGGTCTTCTGATTAGTCTTTCTGCTGGCTGCTCTTGCCTGCATCAAACATTCTTTACCTGCTACCAACTCATTCACTCATCTACAAATATCATTATCTACTACATGTCAAATATTGTTCTAAGACCTAGACTGTAGCAGCAAACAAATAATCACTTCTCTAGCGAATGTTACATTCAAGTGAGAGAACCATCAATTTTCAACATAAATGAGCAATGTATGTAATATGCTTCAAGTAGCAAGTTCTATGAAGGAAAAGAGAACACGAAAGAAGGCTAGAGAGTGTTAGGGGTGGATGGGGAAGTAGACCTCACAATTTAAAATAAAAGGATCAGAGGAGGCTAATTGAGAAAGAGACACTTGAACAAAGACTTGAAGCACACGAGGAAGGATGCCATGTGGATATCTGGGGCGAACTGCTCCAAGGAGAGAGATCAGCAAGTGCAAAGCCTTTGGGAGCAGAAGTGTCCTGAGAAGTGTGAGGAGTAGCAAGGTGACCAGAGTAGCGTGGGAAGAGTCAGCTGGGGTAGGAGATGAGTTGACAGCAATGAGGTGGGGTGAAGGGAGTAGATCTATAGGGCTGTGTTGGACAAGGTGGGGACTTGGCTTTTATTCCGAGTTAATATAGCAAACAAAGGGCACCAATGAGGCCAGCATGGTGGAGCAAAGTTATCAAGTAAGGTTTAAATTATAAGGCAGGCTCCAGTTACCAAGGTTAAAAAATCATGTCTTCATGTTTACAGTTATTTAATGAGAAGGAGCAGGATTTTCTGAAAGATGTAACCACTTGGCTACAGGCTTTTAGATGTAACTTTTAGCTACAATTCTTATATTGTTTATGGTAATTGAACATATGATTTCTTTTAGAAAATTGCTTTTAAAAAATAACCAATGATCTTTCTTTCTCTGCCTCTCTTCATTGAAATAGCTATTACATTTTGTAAGGAATTGAACATATACATATATATACAGATGTATGTGAACACATACATGCTTGTATATGTATACACAGAGAGAGAGAAGAGAAACTCATTAAATCTGAAATCACAGCACTCTACTGCCCATCTATCTTTATGAAATCATATTTAATTTTACATTAAGTAGAACCACATCTCATGTACTGTTTGATAGCAGACAACTTTTAATCTTCTGTACCTTATTATCACTCCCTTATATTTGCAACTCCCTCCCCCCACCAAACTCGGCTAACTAATTTTAACCTAGTAGGTATCATTTTATATTTTTCTCCACACTTATGCATTCTTATGCAGACTTTTATCTAAGTATATATACATTTGTAAGGTTTTCTGACCTGTTGCTTGTTTTGTAAATATGACCATAATATACACACATTTTGCTGCATTTTGATTTTCCTATGTAACTTTGAAATCTTTCCAAGTCATCCAGCAGAATCCTAAAACACTCTTTCCAATGTCTGAACATTAATGCATATTGTGCATATAGCACAACTTATTAAACCATTTTCCCACTACTGGGCATTCACTTTTTGTTTAGCTCCTGACCTCTATAAACCATACAACATTCAACATCCTCATGCATATGTTCTAACACATCAGAACCTTAATTCTAGGGCATAGATCCTGAGGAATAGAATTGTAATTCAACAGATGTTGCCACATTGACTTTCAAAAGTCCCAATCCTTTACATTCCCCCAAGAATGTACTAGGGCTTTCTACGTAAATGTTGAAATACATTTCTCCGCTGCATAAATCCTTCAGTTATCCCCCAGACCACCATTCCTGGATAAGTCAAAACTCCTGAGGCTAAGATGAGAGAGTTTCCATGATATGGCCCCAGACTACCTTCCCACACATCTCCCTTGTCCATATTCCTCCAACTCCTAGTGCCCCTGCCACAAACACACTCTATACCTCAGATACATTCAATCTTCCAATTTCCCAAACACACCACTCTCTTTCACAATCCTCTGCAGCCTTGAACACGCAGTTCTCCATCAGATTAGAATCCTCTTCTCTTCTCTATGTGGCAAGTTTCTATTCACCCTGCAAGACCTTTACTCTTACATTATCTACTCTAAAAAACTTCAGCCAGAGCTCATAAGTTCCTCCTCAGGGCCCCTGCATCCTTCAATGGGGCACTAATAACATTCTATTGTAATTGGTGTGTGTGAACTCCCCAGGTCCTGTGAGGAACAGTCTCTCGTGCCTGGCTTATTGCCAGTGTCTGATATATATCAATTATTCAGAAAATGTATGCTCATGAATTAGTGGCCAAGTGTCAGACATTTATTGCCATAGGTCTGTACCTCTGCAGAGACTTTATATGCCTCCATCACACAGCTACCCAGAGAGTGCCCCAAGATTGAAGTGATGGGAAAGGAGATGCTAAAGATGGAAAAACTGTGATTATTGTGTTCTAGAGACAAAGAAATGGGAGGCAAACTGACCTCAGGGCTTTTAAGAGGCAACAAATGAACAAGTCACTTGCACATTGACTCGTTCACTCCATAAGCAGTTTACAATGGACATCTGTTGTATTATCCTTCCAGCATTCCTTTCTCTCTCTTCTGTCAATCACAAAGACAAGTTTAATTAGCTACCTCTTTGGATGGCTGCCCAGGTTGCAGCTTTTCTCTCTTCTTTGCTAAAGGCCCCTCCTCTCAAACACAGGGGTGATCCCCTGGCCATCTGTGGCCATGTCTGGGCTGTGTTAAAATGCCCCTGGAAAGAATTGGTGCTTGATCCAGGGGTGGACTTCTGAACCAAGCTGCATGAATCCAATTCCTTGCCCCAAATTGTGAAACTTAGAACCAAGGGTCACACAGACAGGAATTGTTGCACATGGGATGTGTTAACAATGAAAACTTCAGTTGTTCCATGAGAAACTCCAGGATCACTTGGGGAGTGGGGTGACAAGTCCAACAAATAATCTCTATTGATTACAACCAAAAGAACATTTTCTAAGACACAAATGCACAAATAACCAAACACAGTTGAATTGGTGTTCTTAGGGTAAAGGTCTGCTGGGAATTCCAAGAAGAGAACTGTTCCTCTCCATTGACAATCAGGGGCAGGTGCCTGGAGGAGGTGGTCATACCCTGGGTAGGATTTGAATTTGTGGGGGAGCATACTCTAGGGTGGGGCAGTCAAAGGGATGATAAGTAAGTCCCTTGCTCTACAGTTGTACGTTCTGGAAGAGAGGGAACAATGATAAGGAAAGCCAGAAAGGTACACCAAGGCCCTGATTGTGAGAAGCCTTCGGTGCCAGATTCGGGGCTGGCATTGGCATTGAGAGCCCTGAGAAGATACTGGAGGGTGGCAGGGCAGGACAGCAGAGGTAGGGATAGGTGAGATTAGAAAACAGCCAAATCACAGCACCTGGGACCACCACCTGGCTCAAAGGAAACCTGTGTGCTGGGACTGCTCCCTGAGGAAGAGCTCTGGCACTTTCTGAATGGAAGCACTCACACTCCTTTACCTCTGGCCTGGAAGGGAAAGAACCAACACAACCCAAGCCATGGTAGAGGCAGGAAAGGAGAACAAGGACATGGGAGGCCTGCTCAGATCCACAGCTCAAATTTTTGTCAAGCCCTCCACCCCAATGCACACTGTATACTTAGTTCTTGCTTTTAAAGCGATTTAAGAATTAAAAAGTGAGATTTCAGAAGCCGTGTTAATTAAACTCTTAATCGATTTGGCACTCTGCAAGTAGGAGATGTAGAATGACAGAACTATTGATTTCTTCAAGCCCTGTGTGTTTGTGCCTACGAGTGTCTGTGTTTGTGGATATAAATCCACATGGGTGCCTGTTTATATTATCTTGATGCCTGTATCTGTCTGTGTGTCTGTATATCCCTATCTGTGCAAATAGATGACTATATCTGTGTTTACAGACCTCACC